GTGCGACTGGTGCTTTTCTCATATCTTTGACAGAAGCGAGGAAAGATCACTCACTGCGATCTCCACCGCGGGTGCCATATGATACGGCACCCGCGGTGGAGATCGCGCAGTCAGATGCAGTATTGCGCCACAGATTCTCCCGCGGGAGGCCTGCCGCGCATACGCGGCCGCTAGGGCAAACAAGGACGGAACGGGAGCGCCGTGCTGCGCCTGCTTCGCGCACGCTTTGGCGCACGCTTTGGCTTTTGTCGGCGAGTGCGCCATGCGCGGCAGGGGAGGGCCCTTGCGCATGGCGTGGCGACATTCGCTATGCCGCACATGGCTGGACACCAAGCCATCCGGCCGCGTCTCTAGTGTCTATTGGACATGTGACCTCATATGAGGTCACTTTTCAACTTCTTTTTTCTCGACTTGTGCCTTCTCAACAAGAAGGAAAAAGATACTCTTGCCACCGCAGTTGACTTTCGCGTTGCGGAAGAGTAGAGTTTGGTGAAATCTGCACGTCTTTTCCAGCCATTTTTAGAATGTCTACAAAAGAAGCCTTTTTGACCAATCTCAAAACGTTATGTGTTGATATCTTCGAAACAAAAACGCCTGTTTAAATTGTTAACAGACCATTGAAACTTCATTGGATTCTTAGTCTTTCTGTGTACCCTTGGTATTCACAACTGCTATCCCAATGTTTTGTAAGATGTTATTGCCGAGGGTATAAACGTTAAAGAAATGGCGTCCAAACTGACTTTATAAACTTTCGATTTAATAACGTTGTCCGTAAAATAACGCGTTGTTTTTTTCCATTTGCCCACAAACTCGCTGGACGTGAAGTAAACCCGAGTTTGAAAAATCCCACCACGAGTTTTGCGGACTGCAAGTCTGGTACATCGTTGCGCCGTCCGACGGATCACGTGCACCTGGGCGAATACCCGCTGAATCGAATAGTGTAGCTCGCCACAAGGATAGAATAGTTCTCAGTCGAAAGGGCGATGTGTTTCGTCTTCTTGACGGGCTGAGGGGGGCCGTTTAGAGAGGACCGCTTTTTAGAAGCTTCTACTTGTCTGTCTTCTGCGATTGCTTTAGCGGCATATGCGGCAGATCTTGTGGTGCTTCGATCCGTTGATGGACTCTGGGTAGATAAAGTGATAGGGGCGTCCATGACGCAAACCGGTACGAACCGTGCAGTATGAGACTCGTTTGTGCTGATGAGAGAGCGGAAACCCCACTTCGTTTTCCTTCAAGACGGATCGATCCGGCACTGCCGTACAGTAGGCGGAGAGAGCAGCTATTGCCGTTCTACTCGAACGGCGTGGTTTTGCCGATAAAGATTGTCACATTTCGAAATAAAATATGCAGACCTCGAGTTTACTCCAACAATGACATTGCACAAATATTTCACTGTAAGATCGACATGCTGTCACCAAACTGGCGGCTGGCATAGATACAGGATCAATGCGAAGTTGATCTCTGCGATCGGACGACATCACGTATTCGCTGAAACACGTAGTGTTCGCCAGAAAAACCGAAACACCTACTGTTTCGGCAGCTCCCGGCAAAACTGTTCCCAAAATGCCCCTGCCCTTACTTAAATATTCACTGCACCTCATCTGGGCTTGCTAAACTCCCACCCAACCACACAAATTCACAAAACACAACACTGACACCCCACCGCCCATCAAGAATGCCGCAAAATCCCTCCATTCCCGACCCCGCAGCTGCCCTTGACATTATTGCAGAGCATGCCGAGCGTCGCCAAGAAGATCTGGAGAAGTATGATGACGCTCCAGCCCTTTCGGAAACCGGCGAAGTTTCAGAGAGCGATTGTCCAGTTCTGCAAACTTTCTTCGAAGAAAATGGAACTCAGGCAATCATGGATATGACCAATTTTACTTTCAACGAGTTTACAGGAATTTGGAACTACCTTTTGGAGCACGTCCTGCAGCACTACAACACAGGAAGACGCAGTAAAGATCCGATAAAAGCGAAAGATCTCATTTTTATGACATTCGCAGTTCTGAAGCACGGTGCCAAGTGGAACATGATGGCCTATTTATTTGGAATGAAAGCACCAACACTTGAGAAAAGAATTAAAAAGATGATTCACATTATTTCGGAGTACGCGTATCAAAAGTTTGTTGTTCATTATGAACAACGTTACACAATTTCCAGGCTGATAACGGAGAAAAAAACATTTCGGAAATTTCAGATGTGTCGTTATGCCAGTGATGTGACGTTTCAGCAAAATTTCCGTCCCGGTGGCTCACTTGAAGAATCAAAGAAATTCTTCTCTGAAAAGCACAAACTTTACGGCTTTAAGGTCGAAGTTTCCGTACTACCAAATGGAATTGCCATCAATTCAAGCAACCACTACCCTGGCTCTGTCTCGGACATAGAAATAATGGGAAAAAATATTGGGTTTCATGTTGACGCGCTTGAAAAATCAAGCGAGGAGAAGGCCATCGTAAACTTCGGCAACGGGGCGGACGATCACGAAGATAGTTGGGCGGTGCTTCTCGATAAGGGATACACAGGCATTGACAGAGAAATACGTGCGATACTGCCCAACAAGAAGCCACGAGGCGGCATTTTGAGCGCGTCTGACAAGCGCCAGAATGAGAATCAAGCATCCGACCCCGTCGTGATCGGAAATGTTTTTGGGAGGCAGAGAACTCTTTTGTGTGTTGTGCCGAATAAGTACAGGTGGTCTGAGAGTTCTTATGATATTATTTTTCGACTGACGCTTGCTTTGACAAACTTACATATCCGGTTGCATCCAATTCGTGACGCAGACGGGAAAACGTATGAAAGCTACGTTAAACGTCTGCACGAAATTGCGGAAACTGGTGTTAGGAAACGCAAAAGAGCCCAAGCTTCCTATCGCAAGCGCCGAAGGCGTGTTATGGAGCGTTGTGTTCGGGGGCACGATGAAGAGGAGAATGCTGATCATTTGTTGGATTATGAAGACGAGGAGGAGGAGAGCGCCTGATCAACTGTACTCGAGACTCTCTCGCCCTGCGATAGACACGCTCTCCTGCGCTCCGCTGAAACGCATATCGGCCCCAGCAAGCGAGCGCCATTCTTGCGTGCTATTCTTGTAGCCACTTTGCTTCCCGCCCTTGTAAACCCCCCCGATATCCCCGAACGGACCCCGGCGGCCGCTACGCAGAAACTACAGCCATTTACGTCTGAAATTATGGACGGTACATACAGCAAATCTACAGTGTAGTGTCTGAGCGGTTATTGAGATACATACGAATTTGCTAGGCTTTTGTACCTCAGAGCTATTGAGCTCTGAGGTACAAAAGCCTAGCAAATCAATTACTATCATACAATATAAACTCAGAATGAGACCGAGTCTCTGACTAAAAACCCACTTTCTTCCTCAAAACACCTCCAACCCATCAAATGTCAATGAACTGAATCGCATGCCTAGTAATAAGGCGAATGTGAAAACTCGTGGAAAACTCACATGTTCCGAGTTTTCGGTATGCTGTGAGTTTTGTGGTATAATTCCACACCACGACCCCCGGTGGGAGATGAGAACCGCCTGGACGGGCGGTTACTACTGTAGTAATCGTGCACGCGCCCTCTGAAAGCACAGTAGTACCTCCACGGCGTACACGTGGCATAACCGTTGGCGCCAGTCGTGGCCACGGGCACACGTGTCCGACCCGTCCGGTAAGTAATTAGCAAATAGTGGTTAATGGTACAAATTAGCCAATTTAGTACAGTAGC